AAAAAAAAAAAAAAAAAAAGTTCCCTTCCCCTTTTTTTCTTTAACTGCCCGGTTGAAAAAAAAGGGGGCCCCCCCCCCCCCCCCCACACACACACACACACACTGTCTTCAGTGCCTATATGACGATCCATTGCTGTCTCGTTAATGTATTTATGTATCTATGCATTTTTCATCTGCTTTTCACCATTTATTAGTCTGAAAAGACGACTAAGGTGCCACATAATCACAGTTATTTGCATTTTCTTTCCCTTTAAAAAGAGATCTTTACCCGTTGTCATAGCCCATAAGGCGAAATCACAGTCAAAGCATAACCCGTATTTTAATATGTTCATTATAAAGCTCAATGCGCGTCGTGGTTAACTACGGTTTTGTTTTGCACATCATTTCCTTTTGATAACAGCGTTCCCTTCCTTTGAAATGGACAGCAATTGTCCGAGATGAAAAGTTAATAGCGTTTCTTCGATCCAGCTCAGAGTGGTTTGTAGTGGTTATATAGATGACATTACTCCTTATTGAACGCTGACAATATTCAAACATGAACTAGTTGATCTTTGTGAAGTGTGAAATATTCAGACAAAAGGCGCTCTCGCTGTCTTATTGATAGCGGTTGATAACTACTGTTAGCCGTTTCTTTGATTACTGGCTTTTGAATTATTATTCAAGCAGATAATCTCACTGAGCGTTTTACTGAGTAAAAGTAGATAAATGCATTAACTGGTCGATTATAGGGGTTTTAGGTCAAATTTAGCATGCTTGATTACATGAAGTGTCTGCGGGGTATCAGTGCTTTGGATTACTAGTTTTTTGACAGCGACGAATATTAGTGAAATATGTCTGTTCATACACGCATGCACACACACACACACACACACACACACACACACGAGAAAAAGAATGACATTCATGTGCTATATATGTGGATAAAAACAAAGCGTGTGTTATAGTTCATCAATAGGAATGATGTTTCATGTGGAGTGAAGCGACCCGCAAAGATTTTTTTATAGATTTTTAAGCATTTTACAAACAAATGCTGTGATTGCGTATAATAAACTAATATGTATTTTCTTTGTTTTTTCAGAAACACAAAGATTCACATGGTAGGTTTTGCATATTGAAAGACAGACATGAAAGTGGGATCAACCGTACAAAAAGCTAAATTCTCTCTCTCTCTCTCTCTCTTTTCTCTCTCAAACAAGCGCCAGCACACACACACACACACGCACACGCACACACACACAATGCACTCATAGTAAAACGGGTAAATGTAAAAATTAATTAACGAAGTGTGTAAGAATTTTTTGTTTAACGACAATTTGAATAGCAAATATATTTACAAATCTTTCAAAAGACGGCGAGGACAAACATGAGACAGACGCCGAGAAAAAGAGAAAAGAATATTTCAAGGAGGAGCTGCGTCGATTGCAGAAAAACCTCAAAGAAGAAAAAGAAAAGATCAAGCCGCCACCAATGTAAGTATTTTCTCATTCCTCCTGGCTTCAGTTTCACAATAAATAAATAAATAAATAAATAAAACGCGGTGGTGTTCACCTTTGAGAGGCCAAGCGGAGGTGGGGTGGGTGGGATGCTCCAAGAATCCCTTCATAACCCACTCCTGCTCAGTGATTAGATTTAAATGGTGTCCTTTCATTTTAAAACAATACTTAACAATGCATTGTTTGGAAATACTGAGGATTAGCTAATATAACTACTATAAGGCCAATCTCTGCTTGCCACTTTAGTTATAGGCCTATTCGATACTTCTTTGTTTATAAAGCTGATTTCTTTATCAGAAAAAAAGGCAAAGTTGTTGTATTATTAATGCTGCTGTGCAGTGCTTTCCTTGGTTGTTGATTTTGAACGTGGGAAAAGTAAGCACTTAAAAATGGTAGAAAATATCGATCTAAAATGTCCCATTCTTTATAATACGAATATTAATTTGCTTAAAGAGCCCAGTGTACACTATCTGATGTCAATATTTGGTAGAGCAGAACTGTTTACGAAGGCTGATACGTGTTGTATTTTAGGTATCTTGTGTAACCATTGCTAATGCTAATAGTTTTTTTTTAAATTGAATCAAGGGTGATTTTAGGATTTCTTTATGTATTATGATTGGTTACAAATATTTTAAGATCTCAAACCCGTTATCAGTCAATAAAACAATTTGGTATTCATGAGAAACTTTCCCCCTGTGTGTTTAACATGCATTATTCTTTATTTCAACGATTTCGTAATATAGCGACGTTTGTTACATAGGTCGAATTTCTTTTACTATCGATGTAGTGTTACACGATTACAAATACGTAGTGATGTTGTAGGTGTTAAATATTAACGACCCTGGCGAACAGGTAATTTTCCTCATTCCAGATCAGTATATTTCATGACATTGATTTCATATAAACTGCATTTTTTGTTGTCAGGTGCGTCAAACATCCAAGAATTTTCACTATCGTTTTTTTTTTTTTTTTTTTTTTTTTTTTTTTTTTTTTTTTGTATTTAACGCCTAAGTAAGGAAACTGTGTCTGTATGTTTCAGCAAGGAACACTCCCCATTTATTTTCAACACGTTAGGGCCATACTGCGGTACATCCGCAGCCAGCTACTTAATAAATGGGGTAAGTATTCAATAGGACATGGTCAGGGTCTAATGCTTGCTAGATGAGCTATCCATTTTATTTATGATAAAAAATATAATTGTTTAACTTATGTCTCATTATATTATGCATTTTGACTCAAACATTGTGCTTGTTTCCTGTCATTGTTGATTATTTTAAAAACCACATACCACTTTCCTTATCTCGATAGATTAACAATTTCATAAAAAATACAAAGGAATAAATGAATGTTAAATACATTTATCAATTTATTTATGAAATTAAGACTCTTAAGAAAACTTGCCATTACCCATTTTTACATTTCAGCCTGAAGACACGAAACTGGTTTCCCGTTCTTACGCGACCAGGGCGACAGCTATCGGACTGTGTGACCCCTGGACTGCCCTCGCTATGGACCAAAAGCCCAGTCCTAGGGTGGAACCACCAGAGATTAAATCGCTGGACGAGCTTTCGGCGTAAGTCCAGTTTTGCCAAGACCCTTTAGCTAGATTTCTTTTGAGAAAGTAAAAATAAAAGTTTGGGGAGTCTAAATAATTCCCGCCCCATCAGCACACGAACGAAACGTAGAGCCTCGATATGAAACCAGGCAACTTTTGTGTTTTTAATCTCCAAATACTTTAAAAAATCAATTAAGTTAATAAAAACGCCAGGAACAAGAACTTCTTGAATCGTACATTTTATATTAATGATTATTAAAGATCATAATAATAAAAGAGTCGCATTTCGATTTACTCCATGCTATGGTCTTTATTGAAAAATAGCAATTTTTTGAGATTACAAATTGCATCGTATTGTTTGGTTCCATTGCCTCGCTTTCAAAAATTAGAACTGGCGCTGCAAAACCGGAAGACGAAGTTAAAAAATTTATATTGGCCGAGTTCGCCCTGGAACAAGAATGTCCTCGCAGCATTATCTGCAATCAACCTTCCTACGATTTTAAATACATTTTGCAATGTCATTTTCAATCTGGCACATGGCGCATTTTATGTATCAAGAGTGGGGGAGGGGTGAAAAATCCCAATTGGGGCCACATATAACACTATAAATACAATGGGAATCCACTTGTAATGAAGCTAAAATAAATGTTATTCTAAGGAATTCCGATGGATTTACTTTTTAAAACACAAAATCAATAAAACATTTCTAATTTAAAATTTCAAAAAGACACCAGAGAGCAAATGAAATAAAATCAACCAGACGGTAACCACCGGCAGGCTTTGTCAATTTCACGAACTTGTTTATTTCAAATAGCGCACTTTTCGTGCATGCGCAGTTGTTTGAAGCCTGTGCTCGCCCCATGTGTTTTTTGAAATGCGCGCCAATGAATGGTTCACAGGACCAGGCAATGGCAAATTCGTATCTTCGGATATTTTTGTATGCGGTTCATAAAAAATTCAACTTGATTTCTGGTGGTTTCTTTGATATTTCATCAGTAATATGTTCATTCTTATCTCAAATAATTCATTATTTTATATTCAGGCAGAGGCTTGCAAGAATAAGGTACTATAGATATTTCATCCGTTTCTAGATCTCGTAACGATTTAGTCTTTTTTTTTTCCTGTGCACTACGAAATGTGTAACCTGATGTTTTCCATATACACCCTCCATCCGCTTTTTCTGATATCTNGTTAGTGAAATATGTCTGTTCATACACGCATGCACACACACACACACACACACACACACACACACACACGAGAAAAAGAATGACATTCATGTGCTATATATGTGGATAAAAACAAAGCGTGTGTTATAGTTTATCAATAGGAATGATGTTTCATGTGGAGTGAAGCGACCCGCAAAGATTTTTTTATAGATTTTTAAGCATTTTACAAACAAATGCTGTGATTGCGTATAATAAACTAATATGTATTTTCTTTGTTTTTTCAGAAACACAAAGATTCACATGGTAGGTTTTCCATATTGAAAGACAGACATGAAAGTGGGATCAACCGTACAAAAAGCTAAATTCTCTCTCTCTCTCTCTCTCTCTCTCTTTTCTCTCTCAAACAAGCGCCAGCACACACACACACACACACGCACACACACACACACACAATGCACGCATAGTAAAACGGGTAAATGTAAAAATTAATTAACGAAGTGTGTAAGAATTTTTTGTTTAACGACAATTTGAATAGCAAATATATTTACAAATCTTTCAAAAGACGGCGAGGACAAACATGAGACAGACGCCGAGAAAAAGAGAAAAGAATATTTCAAGGAGGAGCTGCGTCGATTGCAGAAAAACCTCAAAGAAGAAAAAGAAAAGATCAAGCCGCCACCAATGTAAGTATTTTCTCATTCCTCCTGGCTTCAGTTTCACAATAAATAAATAAATAAATAAATAAATAAATAAATAAATAAATAAAACGCGGTGGTGTTCACCTTTGAGAGGCCAAGCGGAGGTGGGGTGGGTGGGCCCGGTGGGATGCTCCAAGAATCCCTTCATTACCCACTCCTGCTCAGTGATTAGATTTAAATGGTGTCCCTTCCCCTTTAAAACAATACTTAACAATGCATTGTTTGGAAATACTGAGGATTAGCTAACGTAACTACCAGTAGGCCAATCTATGTTTGCCACTTTAGTTATATTCGATACTTCTTTGTTTATAAAGCTGATTTCTTTACCAGAAAAAAAGGCAAAGTTGATGTATTATTAATGCTGCTGTGCAGTGCTTTCCTTGGTTGTTGATTCTGAACGTGGGAAAAGTAAGCACTTAAAAATGGTAGAATATATCGATCTAAAATGTCCCATTCTTTGTAATACGAATATTAATTTGCTTAAAGAGCCCAGTGTACACTATCTGATGTCAATATTTGGTAGAGCAGAACTGTTTACGAAGGCTAAGATACGTGTTGTATTTTAGGTATCTTGTGTAACCATTGCTAATGCTAATAGTTTTTTTTTAAATTGAATCAAGGGTGATTTTAGGATTTCTTTATGTATTATGATTGGTTACAAATATTTTAAGATCTCAAACCCGTTATCAGTCAATAAAACAATTTGGTGTTCATGAGAAACTTTCCCCCTGTGTGTTTAACATGCATTATTCCTTATTTCAACGATTTCGTAATATAGCGACGTTTGTTACATAGGTCGAATTTCTTTTACTATCGATGTAGTGTTACACGATTACAAATACGTAGTGATGTTGTAGGTGTTTTAAAATATTAACGACCCTGGCGAACAGGTAATTTTCCTCATTCCAGATCAGTATATTTCATGACATTGATTTCATATAAACTGCATTTTTTGTTGTCAGGTGCGTCAAACATCCAAGAATTTTCACTATCTTTTTTTTTTTTTTTTTTTTTTGGTATTTAACACCTAAGTAAGGAAACTGTGTCTGTATGTTTCAGCAAGGAACACTCCCCATTTATTTTCAACACGTTAGGGCCATACTGCGGTACATCCGCAGCCAGCTACTTAATAAATGGGGTAAGTATTCAATAGGACATGTTCAGGGTCTAATGCTTGCTAGATGAGCTATCCATTTTATTTATGATAAAAAATATAATTGTTTAACTTATGTCTCATTATATTATGCATTTTGACTCAAACATTGTGCTTGTTTCCTGTCATTGTTGATTATTTTAACCAGTGGTTTTAAAAACCACATACCACTTTCCTAATCTCGATAGATTAACAATTTCATAAAAAATACAAAGGAATAAATGAATGTTAAATACATTTATCAATTAATTTATGAAATTAAGACTCTTAAGAAAACTTGCCATTACCCATTTTTACATTTCAGCCTGAAGACACGAAACTGGTTTCCCGTTCTTACGCGACCAGGGCGACAGCTATCGGACTGTGTGATCCCTGGACTGCCCTCGCTATGGACCAAAAGCCCAGTCCTAGGGTGGAACCCCCAGAGATTAAATCGCTGGACGAGCTTTCGGCGTAAGTCCAGTTTTGCCAAGACCCTTTAGCTAGATTTCTTTTGAGAAAGTAAAAATAAAAGTTTGGAGAGTCTAAATAATTCCCGCCCCATCGAAGCCAATGTGTTTTTTGAAATGCGCGCCAATGAATGGTTCACAGGACCAGGCAATGGCAAATTCGTATCTTCGAATATTTTTGTATGCGGTTCATAAAAAATTCAACTTGATTTCTGGTGGTTTCTTTGATATTTCATTAGTAATATGTTCATTCTTATCTCAAATAATTCATTATTTTATATTCAGGCAGAGGCTTGCAAGAATAAGGTACTATAGATATTTCATCCGTTTCTAGATCTCGTAACGATTTAGTCTTTTTTTTTTCCTGTACACTACGAAATGTGTAACCTGATGTTTTCCATATACACCCTCCATCCGCTTTTTCTGATATCTTGCAATTGGTATTAGATATCTTAACTTAAGTCCAAGAAACCCAGCAGCACATTATGTAAAAATTACCAGAACGCTTCCAACAGTCGAGAAGTACGCACCTGATTACCCTTCCATCACTCATGCTGTTTTTTTTTTTTTTTTTTTTTACCTAAACAAATATAAACATGTAAATAAACATGTCTAGAGAAAGCCTAGATAAAATACAGATTCTGCTGGTATAACAATTTTAGAATTTTAAATATATCTTGTGTAGGCTCAAGTACACGTACTTTACCCGAAATTCAATTTAATAATAAGAATTTAAACCGGTCGGTAACCTTTTTAATGGTTTTAAAACGGTGAGCTAGAATTAAAAAGTTACATTATTATCATTAACTGATTAGTCAATTACTTAATAATCTAGTCATTAACTATTATATTTAACTGCCTACATGCATTAATGATTAATTTTTCAGATCAAGAAAAAAAGAAGATAAAGATCGTCCAAAGAAAGAGGGCAGCACCCGTCTGCCTAAGTTTCCTGCTGTGGAGGTGGACGCCAAGGACATGAGGGATAGAAAACTGCTATACAGTGACGTCGCTACTTTGAGGTGCAGTGACACTGGGGGTTCTCTCTCTTTCTCCCTCTCTCTCCCTTCCTCCTTCTCTCTCTCTCTCTCTCTCTCTCTCTTTTTTTTTTCTATTCGGTAATATATTAATTTTTTTGTTGGAAGGGATTTGTTTATTCTATATTTCACATACACTGCCTTTTTTGGCCTTTATGTAGGCCCCAAGTTTCATCAATTTTTGTTCGGTGGAATAATTCTAAATTTCGAAGTCCTGTATAATTAAGTGAGTTATGAAAGAAGTGCTTAGACATATGTATATCATAAAGTTTAAGTCAGTTCAATCGCCATCACTTAAACACATCTTTTCTTTTTTCATACAGACAGGAGATAAAAGATAAATATACGACAAGTGCGCAGAAGCGAGTTAACGAAGAATATAACAGAACTAAACAGGACTTTTTCCGTATGGAACTGGACAAAATGGAAGAAATCCACCCAAACAGTCGACCCATCATGCGATCGGCTTATTTTGCTTATTTACAAAATACTCCGGGGGCCAAGAAAGCTGTAAAGGAATGTATCAAGGAAATGGATGCGAAAATGACAGGATCTTCGCAACAGAGCACGCCGCGGGAGGAAAAAGAAGAAGAGAGGTCAGAGGTCAGGGACGAGCAAGAAGAGCCAAGGGAAACGCCTCATCCTCAACCGGAAGAGCCTGCGACGGCCGTGGAGGCTTCCGAATAATTTGACTAATTGAATTTTCTAATATACTATCTCATTTAGCATAATAGCAGGACCACATGGCCAAATGTGCAGGAGAAATATCGTTAAAATATAATAATTTTACTGGCGTATTTAATTACGTTACACCTGAGAATAGATCAGAGTTCACGCAATTGGGAATTAAGAAAGAAGATAGAGTTATTTCTGATTGATATATTTTTTTCTTTATCTTTTTCATGATTGCATTCAGACTTGCGTCTGTGACATTTATATTGATTAGTCAAGGATGAAAAAACTGATCTTTAACGCAAGTGTGAAAATCATGACAAGTCAATTGAAACCTTATTAAACAGCTACTTTACAATAATTTTTTCAGCAGCTATCAACCGGTTTTCTTCAGCGCAAGCGACGCAGCCGTCTTCTCTAGATTAAAAAAATCTGTATAAATGGTATTTAAATCGAACGGATATCATCTAATCAAGATCGTTTTTTAATTGTGGGCTATTTCCAAGTACATTATTTTCATGGGTGCTGAAACCCACAAATGTATATATATATTAGTCGCACGCATAAAACGGTTGAACACAGTTCTTGGGGGTAAAGATGTCAAATATTAGATTGTGATACTGAATGAGGTTGAGAGTTCTACGCAATTAAACGTTTGCCGAATAATTACAGTTGTTAATTGTCTTGCTGTTTCAAGGGTTAATCGTTCAGCGGACACCAGGGTGTGAGGTTTAATCAAATAAAATATTAACAAAGAATTGAAATTCCCTTAGTGTTTGTTCAGTTTCTGATATGTAAATTTCAATTTCTCTGGCAACATGGTGAGAATCTCCGACAGAAAATAATTCACGGGCAGCCTTTACATAGATCTGACACACACCTTGAAGACGGGTAGTGTGGTCCGATATACCGGTTAATTCAGGATCCTGATGTGCCGAGTCTGGTAGTTGGATAGGCCTGCTAGAACTAGACGGCGTTTACCTAGACCTTTTTTTAGAATTTAAGATCGCCGACTCCATCCAACATGAGACTTAACAATGGCAGCTTAAGACACCACAATGGGAAAAAAAAAACATCTTTCATCCTCCTTTAACTAAATTCGATACAAGCAACCATTGGCAGAGAAGATCTTTCCCAAAGTTTCCATCTCAGATGCAAAAGCCAACACATGGATCCATTTCTTCAGACATTTTATTTTTGAATTATTTTTCATTGACAGTTTTTATTTTTTTACTATGTACAACAAAGTCTGTACATATTCATAAGGTCTCTCGTAATTGGCATGTATAAGAGAGTTCATAATTGTTGGAGGCATCATTTTATCTTGTGGGCATGGTCTATTTGCCTGGAAGAATCACACCATCATACTGGAAGATAAAAGAAAATAGTACAACATAATGATATCATATAAATATACCGTCCTTAGCATCATTGTCGGAAATGCAAGTCAAACAATGGACACAATTATTTTTATTACGTTTTCACCAAAACATCACATTCAATTATTTTACTAGACTTTGAAGTGTTAAAATAAAGGGACTATCAAAAGTAAAAAAATTCAAATCACAATATCCCCCCCCCCCAAACAAAAAAAAAAGAAAAAAAAAAAGTAACATCCGGTTTGAGAATCAAGTGTTGTAATACTCCCAAAGAAGGTTAGCGTGGCAGAGAAGTGGCATATTAGCTCGTTCATTTTTCAACTTTCCACTCATGTCCAATGGAGGTTTGAAAATTAAGAAGCTGCCCACATCGCACCAAAGACCATGCTTAAGCAACGCACCTTCTGTTGGAACCACTTCATGGCCTCGTCTTTATTCACTCGGTGCTTGGCGCCAATTCTGGTTTTTCTGGCTCTCCTCCATCCCACCTTGAATCCTGGTTAATAAGTATAATAATAGTCAATAAAGGTGTTAAAGAAATCAGGCACTAACCAAAGGCAATTATTCAATTCAGAAAATCCACTGAAAGGAAGTCATCTCTGATGCACACTTTCAAACACTATGGAACCAGAAAATTTGCTCAAATATTCAAATGTGACAATGTTCAAATAAGTTAAGAACAAAATACCTATGAGAAATGTCTATTTAACAAAATTTGTTGGAGAAAAACAACAATTCAACTCATGAATGCCTGATGTTGTTCACATTCTTTAGCCAAAATCAATCCTTTTCACTGAATCAGTTGCTATGGTAACCTACCAGGCCTTCCCATCACCACGTAGAAGTCCATGCCATAAATGCCAATGCCTGGGTCGTACTTGATGCCCAGATCAATGTGTTCCTGAATGCCAAAGCCAAAGTTGCCATTGTCGGAGAAGTTGCCCCTCCTCAGTTCGTACTCACGCACCTAAAAAACAAAGATACAAGACTGAAAATTCTATGAATTCTACTGTCAAGAGGCACCATTTCTGAAAGCTTACCTATCTTTACCTGACAAGTGAAATTAAGGTTCTTTTGCACCCTGCCTGCGTTTTTAAATATTAGGCATAGTGGTAATCACTCAGCATACACTCAGAGAAAAACAGAGGAGAAACAAAATATCTAATAGTCCTAATTATCTATTAAATGATTTCAGTATTTCATGCACACAGATTACAACAAATGTGATGTATTAGCATTTGTAGCAGGGGTGGAGGTCTATTTACAGAGCACTGAATCTATAACGGATCGTTACTTTTTTACTTTAATCAGACATTTCTTCTTGTACCTCTCATAACAGTATCACACCAAGCATAGAACAGCCAGGCATGTGTTGCAAAAGAAAGGCTGATTTCTCTTGCACTCTTTAAGTCAAGTATTCTGATACAACCACCAGGTACCTGTGCCAAAGAATGCTTCCAAATATTTTTTTCTGTTATCTGATCATTATCTGTCTGGAGCCAATTGCTACAAATTCAGACTTGACTTTCGAAGCACTACTTCACAGTAATAGTTTTAACTAGCCTAAGATGTCATCACTATCATTAACATCTTATGGTAGAGGAAAACTTAAAAACAAGTGAATACAACACTTTTGACCTTGAATAATTTTAGGTGGGGGGGTAGGGCTGTAGGTTTCTCATCATTTCAACACCAGAAGTTCTACTGAGAACAATGAATTTTTGTCCTTGGATTTATGACACCGAGTACTTAGCAGAATGAACTCACTTTCAATCCACGCTCCAGGATCTCTTCTGCCTTGGGACCTCGGACTGTGCAATGCACGGCAATCTTCTCGTTTCTTCTGATACCGAAGGAACGCACAGTGTAACGAGCTAGATGAGGGGAGAGAAAATAAATATACATCATTGGCATACCTGTGGGTAAGCAAAGCTAAAGCTCTGTTTTTCAATGCTGATGTTCATGTGCCTTTCGTAACAGTATCACATCAAGCACCTCCCAGCCTGATGTGTGTTGCAAAAGAATGGCGGGTTTCTCTTGCACTCTTTAAGTCAAGTATTCTGATACAACCAACCAGGTACCTGTGCCAAAGAATGCTTTCCCATTACAACAACTGTGTTTTCCATTATCTGTATATCATTTCCTTGTCTAAAGAATTAATTCAACCCAGACTTCATGGTAGCACAAAAATATAATTTTGCTTTAATCAAAAAGGTTTTTTAACAAATTAATAATAGACTGCCCCAAACACTCAAGTATTTGTCCATTTAAAGAGCTCCCACACAGTTTCTATACCCACCCCCCATACACATTTAGATTCTATACCCAATCCATAAATTCCATTAACATTATTACAATTTCCATTTGAAAAGAAGAAATCTGACACAAGCGGGTCAACTTCACCCCTGTATGTGGACCCAGGTATAATCCCTGCCATGCCTACCTTTAGAGAAGACTGGCTGCTGTCCCGTGAGCTGTTCCAGCACCTTGGCAGCACGTGTCAGTCTGTCACCAGACTCACCAACACATATATTCAGGCACAGCTTACGAATGCGCAGCTCGCGCATGGGGTTGTTTTTGCTTTTATCTTCCTTCTCCCCCTAAAAAAATAAGGGTATGTATTATGTCCGAGTGTACTGATTGGATGAAATTAGGAGAAGGATACACAATTTTATGTCATTTTAAATACGTTCAACTCTTAAAGGTTTTGTAACAAAAGTCAAGATTTTTGATTAACAATGAGTTACTCTTTGTCATGTGCTTCATAATTGGCCATGCTTGTTTGTAACCTATCCAAATGTCAAAACAGACTGCATAATGTTGATAAGTGGTTATGCAGAACTGAATATTTCAGTTACCATTTCAATATGATCATAAATGTATGTTCTCTTATCACTACAACCAGCATTTTCATCGAACCTGTGCCTCGCAGCGTTTTGCACAGGAAAATAATATTCAATCATTTGAAAAAAATGACATTCTAAACAACTGGATGAAAGCTGTGAAAATGGACAAAATTACAGTACCCGTTGTAAAACAAGTAAGCCTCATGTTAACTTGATCATGATCAACGAAAGCCACGTTCACAAGTGACTGAGACACCGACGTTGGTGTGCAAGATTAACAAATACCGTTTTCCAAAAATGTTTCGACAGTTTGCGTTTCCCTTTAATTACTCGGCATCTGTCAAATACAATTTGCGTAGATATTGCTCAAGTTGTCACAAACATTTTAGATAGTGAATTCATTGTTTTAACCTCGCATTTAATTTTGTAAGTGCATATTTTCCATCAAATCTTGCATGTTGTGAGTCCGCATATAGTCAGGGTTTAAAGATTTTAACCGCCAATCTATTTAACATTAAAAGACAAAGTCACGAGGACATATAATCCTCTATCTATATGGAGAGGGTAAATATACAACAAGACTGTTACAGGACAGATGGCAATAGATTTATTCTTGCATTAGTTGGATTGGAATGCTCACCGCCATATTGCCTGCTTGAAAGAGGAAGTCAATTGCATTGTGGGAGTCGAAATCACACTTACTCCCGCGAGATGACGGAATGTTTTGAGTTTTACAAACCTTTATATCTCATGTTTGTTCTGACTTATAGTGAAATATCGTATATTTTGTACGATTTTGTTTTAGTCAACTATAAGTATAATACACTATACGGTTTTTTGGTACTCAAATATAGCGTTATTTAAAACCTTGAATTTTAGTCACGTGACCATCTAACGAGAATCTTTCATAGCAACTACAAAATAGTGAGAGAAGCCGACAGCCAAAAGACTAAGGCTGTATATATATTTGTTGTTCGTTCCAAAAGGTTTCAACCAAGATGAGTTCTAGTGGAGAGGAAGAAGAAGTAGGGCCGTCTGTTGATTCCAATGACCCAGAAGAAAGAATTGCAGCCCGCAGACTAAGGATTCAGAGGCGTCATGAACTGGCAAGAAGGTGAGCAACTTCAGCAAGATGTCAAATCAGCGACAAGGTCGATAGTAATAGTGTGAGCATGAGGCGAGAAATTGTCTCCTTTCATAAGTGATTGTTATACCAAACAAATGGAAATAACGAATAATAAGAGAGCCTGAAATGAAATAAGAAGATGGCCTGTAATTGTAAAAGTGAATTAATTTCTGTGAAAGGGGGGGGGGGGGGGGAAGGGGGTAACTTAACTACCGGGTACCAAAGAAATATACAGGTTTTACTTTTCAAATGCATATGTTTCATTAATGGTGTGGTGATATTATGACAGTAGCTAGTGCAGTTTTATTTGTTAATTATTTTCTGAGCTATTAATGCTGACTGACTCCTGTACAATAACCTATAGGGTTATGAGCATGCACCTATTTTATCTGTATGAATATTTATTTGAAATGATTTGAGTTATATGTAGCATTGTTTAATTAATTTATTTCAGAGCTGCAATGGGAGAAGATCCCAGTGCGAAGAAGGCAGTTAAAGAAGAAATCAGTAAAAGTAGAATACAAATTGAACAGAGTAGACAGCGCCTGACAAAACTGCTTCAGGATGGGACAGAACTTGTCACCAATATCCGTGTAGCAGGTGACATGAGAGAGGGGGCCCGCAGGATCGAGGAAGAAGAGGCACGAAGGCAAAGGTAGGAGAAGGCAAAGAAGTAACCATGTTATATCAGATTTTTATTGTCTTAAATCTTCCCATTTTAAAGCTTGCAATTATTAGTAATTAAAAAAATGAAGTAATTTACCGCAAGAAAAAATTAAAGTTAAATATTTGTATTTATTTCACATTTTGAAGTGCAGTGACTATATCTGCAATACAAATCTTAACATTTTCTAAAGCATCTAATAACCAGTATTAGCAAATTATTTGAAGCAAGTTTAAAAAAATAATAATAATAAACTACAAGCAAAATTGGCAATAAAGAACTAAAGTATTTTGTCACATTTTGATTTATAATTACTAGTAGAGAAATTCAGGGACTGCATCTGATACACAATTTTGTGAACACTGTAAAATTGTATTTACCATTTATCTTCAACAATTTTTTATTGTTTTGTTTTCAGGAAAGACAAATTAGAAGCTGAAAATAAGGGAGGAACCGAAAGATTTGAAGAGGTAAAGACCCACATTTTTTATATATTTGTAAATAAAAACAAACTTTCAATAAAAAATTAAAAAGAAATCATGGTGCATGCGGCAAAAAACCTTAACACAATTTCATATAATTCTGAGCTAATTGTGTTTTACAATGCAAAACTTACATTCATTTTTCAAAATGTTTAGGTACCTTTAATATGTATTATTATTATTATTTATTATTATTATTTTTTATTATTATTATTTTTTTTTTAGATTAGTAAAAAATGGGAGTCTGCCCTCCAGAAGGAAATCCCCCAGGACCTGCATGAGGTATGTACAAGTGGCCTGGAAGTACAGCATTTGATCACTATTAAGTTTTTTACCTGGCGTGAAAAGCTGAGGTCTAACGGCCTGTCATAGGAGATAGAACCACAAAGATCACTTTGGAGTTTTGTTAGATATTTATTTTAATTATAGAATTGCTCTAAAATAACATATGTTCATTTAAATTTTCTCATGTAGGCTTTTCATGAATATTATTAGCTTTTTTCTTTGTAATCAGCTTGGTTTAAGTAATACAATTAAGCTTATTGTTGTTTGTTATAAAATTATGTTTTAAAGCAGTCACTTATTAAAAAAGAAAAATACAAGTGAAATGGTATGTTCTCTCACCAACTCAGCAATAGATACATAATATTAATACTTTATTGAGAACTAAAATGTTTACACTTACATTTAACAGGCTTTCTACAAAACTACACATACAACATATGCAGACAACTAAATAAACAAGACACTATGACAAACAATTTGTTCTCGTCCCCAGATGCTGAAGCAGCAGCAGCAGAGGTGTAACGCCATGATAGACGAGAAGAACAAGCTGATCAGCGAGTTCCAGCAGGAGCTGAAGGGAAAAGACGAGCAGTACGTGAAGGACCTGAAGAAACAGGCAGAGGAGATTGACCTGATGATTGAGAGGATGGAGGAACAGATCAAGAATCTCACCAAGGCTTACAGAGAGGAGCTCAACCAGATTGAGGTGGGTGGGAGTGTTTGGTGGGGGTAGAGGACGAGAAATAGATGCTGTTGAGATGATGGAATAGAAAGAAAGAAAGAAAAACAGGGAGAAAAGAGAATGAAAGATTGGAAGATAGAAAATGATATATATAAAAAATTAAAGAGCAAAAATAAAAATAAAAAAGAAAGACAAACAGAGAGGGAGTAATGATTGGTGATTAAAAAGAAAAAAAAATATTACACTGACAGGTTCTATTTTATTTTTGCTAACTTTAAGTAAAAATGAATAGATGATATTTATTGAATATAATTCACATTTTTAATGATACCATTCCAGAAAGCATTTGTCACAGAACGCACAGAACTTCTAGAACTCCAGCGCAAAAAGTGGGACCACATGATGCAGCAGAGGCGCGACAAGGAGCTGGAGTACATGAAGGCACGTGAAAAGCGTGTGGAAGACTACGAGCAGCAGCTGCAGCACCTGCGTGTCCAGGACGCGGAGGAGTATAATAGTGTAAAGATTAAACTGGAAACAGATGTGCAGGTATTTATTTATTTATTTATTTATTTATTTATTTATTTATTTAATAATTATTATTTTTCCATGATTCTGCAATGTTATGTTTTCAGGTTGATGAAAAAGTTACTCATTAACAAGCCACATTAATGAAAACTTTAGCAATGTTTTTTTTCTTTAACTGAACACTAACTGATTTTAAAATTAAATTGAGAGCTGTTTCATGTTGTCTTCTTAGTGACCTGTAAGTGTGAACATTTTTGATATTTTAAAAGATATTTATGAAAACAAACAATATAAGAACTAAGGTTTATCTCTTATTCCAGCTCTTAGAGCAACAAATACAGCTCATGAGGGCCACCTTCCAACTTAACCAGGAAAAACTGGAGTATAACTTCCAGGTCCTGAAAAAGAGGGACGAGGAAAACACCATCACAAAGTCTCAACAGAAAAGGAAAATTACCAGGTAAAGGCACTGGGGAAATGTTTGTAAAATGGAGTTATTAATCACCCCTCCATCATCAAAACTAAAATTCATGAAAAATAAAAATCAAAAAAATATGTCTATTTTAAATTTCAGTCCAGCTTAAATTAATTTGAGCATTTGGTATAAAAATGTATGCTGTGACACATATGCTAGCATGAGTGTCAAATTATTACCTCAGACAAGGAGGTTATATTTTTTAGTTTTAAAATTTTATGCTTCTAATCTTTATCTCATTTTTGTACACAGACTTCAAGATGTCATGAACACATTGAGGATTAAACTGGCCAAACAGGAGAAACAGTTTAGGGATGAGAACTCTCAGCTGACAGAAGACTATAAGAGGATAACTGAACAGTTCATGGAGTTACAGAAAAAGTCAAGGTAGGGTCTACGATACAGGTCATGTAAGAATATGGTTGCCACCTATCTGACTCATAAGACAGTGATTTAAAGCAACAGTGACATGTCCTCAGCGGGCTATAGGCATTTAAAGACCCTGGGGTGCAAAGATGTCACAGATTTTCCCTCAGGCTTATATGGTAAAGCTAACAAATGCAGCAAAGCTGTTATTTAACGAGACTGTTAAACATGTTTAAGTGAGTAACGTAAAATGCATGTTTTCTGGCATAATATTATTGCAGTGACTAATAATTCATCAATCCATTCATTCATTTAGACGAATTTGATTCAGTGTCGACTCATTTCCTTCCAGACATTTCATCACAACAGACAACAAGAAGTTCACAGACATCTGGATAATGAACGAGGCCGAGGCCAAAGAACTGGTGGAGAAGGTCTGCGAGCAAGACAGGACTGTCACAGAACACCAGCTGGGTCTGAGATGGGACCAGCCTGATCTGTAAGTGGTTCTATACAGCGCGTTCAGACTAATATTGACTTGGACGAGAATATTTGGTCCAAGTTGTGCCCTGACATATTGGGGGGAAAATAAGAGAGGAGTGGCATGGTGTATTCTGTGATTTGGTTTTCCTTTGCTTGAGTTGGATGGATTTGCAGTTTTGATTGGTGTGAATAGTTATCTAGGTCGCAGAAGACCAAGCACATTCCATAAAAAAATATGTCATGTCAATTTTTTAAAATTAGTTAGTTAATTTATACAACATGATAACCAGATGTATGTTTTTCAACTTTTTGGTCCCAAAAAATGGAAATTATTTGTATTTTATTACTTTATTTCTCAATAATTCCAGTGAGTTCATGGACAATGTTGGCCCCATACTAAGTGAACAGACCAAGAGACAACAGGTGTCAGCAACACAGGTGGTACAGGAAGTCATGTCACAGACAGGTAGGTCATGTCATGGGTCTTTTTTTTTTTTTTGGGGGGGGGGGTGATAGGCTGATGAATAAACTTCATATACATCCAACAAGTTTTTTTCCCAACACAAACATACATAATACACATAGTACAAGTAGGCATAAGGCATTAGTAATTATAGGAGTTGTAACACACACATACACACGTATATATGGCAAGCTATATATATATCTAACCCTGTGTCCACCCCCTAGGAGGAGTCAGTGACCAGCCTGTGGCAGACCCAGTGGACAGACCGTACCGTCCTGAGCCAGGAGAAGAAGAAGAGGGCAGTGAGTACCACCATGGCTCAATGTTGAAGGATCCGGCCACCAAGAGCGAGCAAGGCGAGACTGTGAAGAGCACCATAACTCAGAAGTTCTCAGCTCATACTATTAAGAAAATACTGGAGCTCCTGTGTGATGAGTCGGTGAGTGCAAAAAGTGGTGATGGGTGGTCATGTGGATTTAAAAAAATTGGAGGTAGGGAGGTATAATTCTTGTATCTGTTTGTTTTTTAATGGATTTCTACTTGTATCAATATTGCCATGATTCAGTAATTTTCAGATGACTCCGCATTTATTGTGTAAGTAAAATATATGCTGGTAGCAAAGTGAATGTATTAATTTTATACAAAATTGAATATTGATAGAATTAAGATTTTATATGCAATATGTGTGGCGAGTCCAAATGATTGGATTTTGTTGGTTACTGCGAAAGATTCATTTTTTGTTTACAGCTCACTTGTCATCCGCCAATGAAATATTCTTCTTCACCAAAGTACAAGTAACTAAAAAGTTGTAGTCCATATTTAACCCATTGTTCATTTTCTTTCAGGGTTTCCTAGTTGAAAATAAGTTGGTGAAACTCCTAGCACCACTGGAACAAGACGAGCAGTCCCTCATGAAATTAGATGCTATCTTTGCTGTAAGTTTTTAAAAGATTTTGTGACTAACTTGAAAAAGGTTGGATATCTTTGAAAGAAGATGTTATTGTTCTTTATTTTTCCTTTTCCTAAAAAAATGTTCAAGTGAGCTGCAAAGTGATTAAAATTGTAATTATAGCACATTATTGGTATAATGTAAGATGATGATAATGATAATGATCTGAATTCATTTATTACAAGCAATATGTCAGATACAAAGAATTTTTGTATGTTTCATGTTTACCTTATCAGCTGTCCCACCATCTTACAGTGCTACAATTTCTTATGCTGTGTCATTACGCAGTTCTAGTTTATAATAATAACATTATTGATACAGTAGGCCTCTTCCTATATCTTATATTGTATATTGTATAATTTGTAAAAAAAACACTACTTAATTTCAGGCCCTGGGAGTGGAAACAGAAGACGACATCTACAGGCTGTCCAATTTTTTCACCAAGTTCCGCCAGGCCACAGAGCGTGCTCAGAGCGGGCAAGGCAGCAGGAAACAGTCGGTGGAAGAGGTAGAGAGACAGGTGAAGAATTTATTTATTATTATTAATTTTACTTTATTTAATTGGACCTTTTTTATTGAGGATAGGGTATGGGGAAAATGGTCATTTTTTGAACCACCATTTTTTAAGTGGGGATAGCATTTTCTTCAGTTGTTACATTAACATCTCACAAACTTAAAAGAAACTACTTTCAGTCATCAAAAGGTTGTTTAATTATTTTTTTTCCTCATTGCAGGATGGTGAACCAGAAAAGGAAGGTGAAGAAGGAACTCAGACAGATGAGGTATAACCCACTGACATTTTTACTGTTTATAATCAGTCATAATTTGGGGGGTTGTTATGCATAAAAGTGTACATTTTTTGTCTTGTCATAAGGTCAAGATGTTTGTCTTTTAAGAAAAGTTACATTACATTTGGTGGTAATATATATGTTTGTTGTTGTTTTTTTTTTTTTGTCTTGTCAGAAAAGGTAATGATTTTTAGTCCAGACGGAAAGTTGATGCTGTATTTGTCTTCCAGATGGCCGAGGATGCTGAAGTGGCTGAGGAGCTGCAGAAAGTGATGGAGGATGGGGAGGAGGTGGTGACCCCAAGGTCAGTGAAGAGTGAGGTCACGGAGCTGATCCATCCCAACGATGTGTACAAGGCACTCAGGGTGTTTGTGGAGGAACAGTGGCAGCCAACAAAGTGAGTCTCTCTCTCTCTCTCTCTCTCTCTCTCTCTCTCTCTCTTGGTTCTATTCCATAGTTAATGTGAATGCAGTAGGTTATAATAGTATTTAATTACCATTAATATTATTAATATTTATTGATTCTTAGTTATTTTATCATTTATTGATCGTTTCAAAAATTGGTTCTTCATTTTTTTNAATTTTATTTTCTGTTTTTACAGAGAAAAGTCTAAGCAGCCCCAATTCAAGATTGCAAATACTGAAGACAGGGACGATGCAGATGACGCTGCCTACTGGAAAAAATATTGCTCCATTCTTCCAGAGAAGACAGAGAGAATGTGGGACGCTCTTCTGGATGGGTTAGAAATGTACAGGTAAGTATTTTCCTCTCACAGCTTCGTTGAACTGACTTCTTTATATAATTTATTAACTCAGATTTATTTATTTTCTGCCTATTCAGTTGACTTAATATCATTGCTTGGTGATTTTGTGTTGTTGCTTCTGTTATTATTTGCCACTGTCAATAACATTTAATTATTCACACTTTATTTAAATATTGATTCATTTATGAATTTTATAGTGAAGCATCTGAAATGCCATATTATTTTAAAGATCTGACCTTCTGGTGCCTTGCCCCAAACATTATGAAAAATCCTTAAATATTATCATATAAAGTATTTATTTAGTATTTTTTCCTCTACATTCCAGTGACTGCCTACAGAGCCGAGCCAAGCTAATCACGGAGACGGACGGTCTAAGACAACAGAACGCCGAGCTCCGCATGCTGCTACACCAGTACGTAAACTCCAAGGTGAACGCGGAGCTAGAGATCCCTCCCACCAGAGTGCTTAACCTGGAGTTTCAGCAGGCGTGAACAAGAGGGGGCCGCCCAGTGACGGTGGAGTCACGTGATAATCACGCTGCAGTCACGTGGTTGTCACATGATTCACACTAAGTGTGCTTTGCTGGAAAAATCACGCAAGGAACTTTTTTTTATGTTATTTTTCTTTTATAATATTTTGGCTGAAAATTGTGTTGTAAAAGTGACCATTTTAGTCCAGAAGTCTGATGCTGAAAAGGATTTATTTGGGATTCTTGAAAAAGAACAAGAAAAAATCAGAAGTTTTTAAAATTTATCAATTATATCTTTGATCTCAGAATATCAAAGATATAATTGAAATTGTATTCAAAGATGAGGAATCGATGTTGAAAAAAAAAAAAGAAAGGGAACAGAAACGTGGCATAAAGAAATGTGACACAAAGGACTTCGTCCAGATGATTATAATAAATATTGCAAATGATGTGTATATATTTATATATTTGTATAATAGTTTAATATATAATGTCGTATGTACATTACTGAATTAAATAAACAAAACAATGATTAATTTCTGGGTTTTTTTTCCTCCCAAAAATCAAATATCTATCGTACTATTTTAATATAGCATGCAGAGACTAGCCTGAGAGTTGCACTGATGAATAAGAAACAGAAATAACAATTTATCTTAATAATACGATAAGAATTTGTCACCTACGTGAGGATTTGAGAAGTCTTACTGTTCCAAAGTAAACATGTAACCGAACGTATGAATTACAGTGAGCGGAGCTTTTTCATCATATTAGGATACCTTGGGGACGCAAATCTGCCGGTTAATATTTTCCCTCGCCGCTCATCAATCGCCTGCAAATTTTATAAAAGTCAATGGAACTCTTTCCCTGGTCACTCGTTCATTTCTGTAACTACAAATAACAAGAAGACACTGCTCCCATAGGAAGTATATGTTATTCATGTCGCCACCGCACGTGTTCTCAATATTATTTACACTGTATCATTACTAGAAGAAGAAGGCTTTATCTGTAGATCATAATTTTTTAAGTTGGATTCTGGCTATATCTCCATTTCTTGACAGCCATGATCCGCTGGAGAGATTATTATAGACAAATTGTTCATAATTTCATAGGCCCTAAATTCGAAAAAAAAAAAAACATTCTATCAATCAATATTTGTGATAATATTAATAATAAATGAATAAATAAATAAGTGAAGAAAAGAAAATATCTTAGTCAATAGGAATGCAATATAAAAACACAGGTAAATACATTTTCAAATAAACTATTTATAAACCCGCTATTCAGACCGGAACAACATACGCTATAGTTATTTACCTGGGAATGTTTACACGCTGAGTTGACCTGCACAAACTTTGTACTGTGCGTTCAGATTATCAATGAGATTGCAGGATTAGTACGTTACTAACGTGTATATGTCTGAGATAGATTTGACTGTTTAAGGGTGACGTGACACATATATACAGGTGATCCACAGGTAGTTAATGTCGTAGTACTGCTGGATCATCGTGACTTGTACAGTGTAGTCTGTTTAACTCGTCTTGTGCCTAGGATCCAATTTTATGATGGTTTCTAGGCTGTGGTAACTATCGCTACAAGCTAGTTTATTACACTTCAGCAGATTACGTGGGTACAGCTAAGATCAAGTGGATCGAGGACGTATACGGTGTGTAAACGAATATTCGTTGAGACATATAGACCCTAAGGCTAGAGACCCTATGGCTACACGCGCCATAGGCAATCAGGTACTGCAGCAGTCACGTAAAGAGTCCGAAGAGGGGGCGCTCTACGACGTTTAAGTTATCAGTCGGGAACAGAATCCAAGTGACATTTAACTTGAAGATACAAATCATCATATAAGTGAATTAAATCATGACAAGCGCTGCTTAACGCTGGCATAAGCGGTCGCCAATTTGGGATTTCTTCGTTTGGCTGATTTAGGAATGGATGTCGAGTGATATTTCGGAGAGACGACTTAAACCAACCAGCATAATACGCTAGAGCAGTTAAACTGTGGGTTTGCTTTAAAGCTGTACATGTGTTAAAAATACTGTGTTCTAATATCAGATGTACCGGTGTCACAGCCATTATTAGGTAAACGTGGACTGATTACAACGCCAAAAGAAGTGAGCTTATTACAACAAGACCCTTCTCCATCGGGGTGTCGTTCTTTGGTATATTGGTCGTGTCGCTAAGCGTGGGAGCTACCCAGCGGAGATTTGTGTCTGGACTTGGTTGTAACCATTTTTAGAACAGAATACCTGTAGATGCGTGTGTTTAAAATACGTGCTGTTAAGGGGTGAAAAGTACAACACGTTCGTCCCATAACGTCCGAGAGGGCTGTAGGTTTGTTCTCTCGCATGGAATCTTTACGACGTCATCCTTACCGCAATTTCTAGTAATTCTCTATACACAAGAGAAAAAAAGTCTACTGTAGGTGGTTAAACTGTTGCTTGGACGAAATCATCAGAATTTTGTTGGATGTCGAGCATTTGTTTAGTAAAAGTGACAGAAGTGAAGAGCTGTTAAAGTCAAGAACTGCGGTGACTCTTCTCACCTTGGATGAAATTGAAGACTGATTTCATTATCCTTCTGCCTACCAGTGATATATAGGCTCATATGATATAAATCAAGGTACGTAGGCATAGGCTAAGTGTCTGTTTATATATTATCCATTGTTTAGTAACTATACTTATAAGGAAAACGTCACAAGCAACCTGTAGTTGGTCGTGGATGTTTGTTGTGTGCGGTAGTTATTTAACAAATACCAGCAAAATTGGTTGAATTTTCCAAAACAATATTTACCGGTAATATATATCAGTGGGGACTATTATCCGAAAGATGAAAAAATACGACGTGGAATACGTCTGAAAACAATTTTGTTAGTTACTAAGATCAAGAGCCTATCTCGATAATGATGATTGTGAGGTGTCTCAAAATTATGACTTATTTTTCAAAATAATGTTTTAGGTCACCCAGTAAATGGCCAACTTATTCAATACGACATAGCTAGTCTTGACCCCCCCCCCCTCGCCCCGTCGCCTTTCTACGCGCCTCTACAGGCCTAGCGTCAAGGTAAAATCCTAGACCAATCTGGGCCTCCACGTGCCCCACTCCTCCACCATCCACCCTTGCACGAAAAACCCTTACTGAACCTTACTCATTGAAAGCATGTGGGTAGCTCTGCTCTGCTCTCTCTCTCTCTCTCTCTATCTCTCTCATACACACACACAAGTTGTGTCCGTAATTTAACTTAAGGAGTCATATAAGTAACTTACAGTACAAACATACTTAAATGACTGAATAGAGCGGATCAAACGATTTCATTATAACTACACAGTGGGTTAATACAGTATTAGAAATTTACATTAATTAGGCCTAAGGGAGCAAGACTCTCTGATCGAGCTTGCCTAACTTTCTGCTTCGAAAAAAAAAAAGCAATGAGCTTGTTTACTTGTGCTGTGTATGATCGATCGAACATGTCGGGGCATCATCTTTACATTAAATGGGCAATTCGTCTTCATCACGCATAGATTTCGATGCCGAGTCGATGTCTTTGATCTCCACATTACTGTAGCTAAGACAGAGACTTACTTTTTAGTACACTCCAGGAACCCTCTCTCAACACACACACACACAAACACACACACACACACACACACACACACACACGCATACAAACACGCACCCCCACACGCACGCACATGCACGCAAAACCCCCATGCATACACACAAACACGCACCCCTCCCTCCCCCACACACGCACAAACAAGACGCAACCCCGCCACACGCACACAAACACTCAATCCACACAGGCACACACACACGCACCCCTCCCCACACACGTACAAATAACACGAAACCCCGACACGCACATAAACACGTACTCCACACAGGCACACACACGCACCCTCCCCACACACGTACAAATAACACGCAACCCCGACACGCACAAAAACACTCAATCCACACAGGCACACACACGCACCCCTCCCCACACGCGGACACTTATAAATACACACACATTAAAGGGAAAAAAGCGACTTTAATTGTAAACGAATACCGCACTGAGATACATGCATTCCTCAAACTGCTTAAGGGACAATTTGTATGGATCATTTGCGACGCTGTGCGCCTTCTTTTGTGTCTGGATCGATACGAATTTGAGATTTTGAGAGAAACACTATTCTCGATCTACACTCATTGGTATTCATTGGTATCTTCGAGAAATGAGGATAATTTCGTTAGATTTCAAATGTCGCAGGGAAACCAAGCACGGTAGGTTTCCCATCGACCGGGAATTACCCTGAGTCTATAGGATATCAGAGGGCCAAGGGGACAGATTGATACAGGATGTGAGTTTCTGCTCATTTCCTAGAAGTCTTCTCAGATTCCAGGCCCGTAGCTTGCAATTTCAAAGGGAGGAGGGGGGGGGTATTTTTTTCTGAAAAAAAATTGACTTTTTATAATGTTTTGGCTCTTTTTCTGAAAAAATGAACTTTACACTCCCGGATCTTTTTCGGTCAAAAGGGGGAAAAAAGGGTTTTTTAACCCCCCCCCCCCCCCCCGCCCCCACACACACAACACGAGAGCGCAAGGACCTGTTATATTTGTTGTATTGTGGTTCATTATATCAATTTTTGTTTGTATACTACATGTTAATGTATTATACATAGAAATGCATGTAACAGAAGGAGCTAATTATATAATTAAGAAATAAAAATAAAATCATAAATGTAAGGCTAAATATGACGTATTGAAACACGGGGTGGTTCAAAAGAAAAAAAAACACATGAGAAAAGCCTTCTCTGTAATAACTAGCTTCTCTCTTTATCTGACGGCAATCCGGGAAATCAAAGAAATTTGGTCTTGGGATGAGTATTTGATGGGAGCACGACTGCCGTTGTGAGTATATTGCGGCTCTAATTTGTTTTTGATGATGATGATGGATTAGGCGTGTGTTTCTATCGTGTGTACTTATGTATGTGCGGTCTTTCGATCGTGTAAGAATAGCCATAGCGGTGTTGCACTAAACGTGGACGATTAACGGACGAGTAGGCGATGGAGGGGTATTGGGGGATCGAAATAATCTCCCATTTGGCTAAAAATGTCCAATAAATCATAATTTCATTTCGTGGGTCAACTATAAGGATGAAAAAGTTCATATTTTTCTTTAAAAAGACCGCCCGCCCATCTATTTGTAATGTTATGATTGCATTGTTATTTTTATATTTTATACACCACTATGTCCAAAATATGCTTCATATAGATGAAATAAATAGTAAAGACAAAATGTAGATGATTATATTCCTAGGGTTAAAATCTTATGATGATATGTTTTGTTTTCCTTGGCGTTTTAATGATAAATTATTTAAAGCAAATGTATTCAAATAAATGAGTTTGTTCGGTTATTTCCATAATGTAAATACCTTTGATAAACACATTTTTTCATAGAGTGAACAATGAATAATATAAAGTACTAATGCGAACCTCTTAAAAAGCCATCATAAATTCTGTGTGAGATAAAGCGCCTCCAGATCTAGGAAACTGAGAAATGTCACCAGGAAATTGTGTAGGAAAAACCGATATGGAGAAAAAAGACCGCAAGGGATAAGTTAATGTTACCGTTGCCAAGTTAGCCTGCACTTCCCAGTTCATAACATGCGAGATCGTTATTGAAAGTGAAAGGAATACCACAGAGCATCGAGAGAGTGTTTCGTTAACACAAGACCGCAGCGGCAACGCCATTTTTTTCGATAACTACATTAAGAGCGTTGGTGTTCATCTTAAATTAAGCACGCCTACAATAGCCCTTCACAATGAGTATATTTCTAAAGAGAGGCGTAAAACAAATTGCATTGCCTCTTTTTCGGGTCAACTACCTGTTTATTCTTTATTAAATCAATTATATATTTGTTAAATCATACGCATACATTTATTAAGTTGTTCCCTCGTTTTTACGTTTATTGTGATTCTTTTCAGACGTCTACAAATCAATATTGGAACAAAGCAGGGCGGCTCTGGTAATCACCAATGAGTTATTATTATTATTATTATTATTATTATTATTATTACACGTGGTTTATTGCAACAATTTCATTTCTGTTTCAGCACCATGGGGTACAAAACGTTCATGCTGATATGTATGAGGGCCACTTTCGGCCGACGCTTCCTTCTCCGATTAGAGCCGAAAACGTCACAATCCATAAAGCTCCGGTGGGGCGTCCCCTCCGGGCTGACGAATGGCCGATATCTCGTGCAATATCGCGAGATCGGGACTAAGGAGTACCAGAGCATGCAAGCGGAGGGTAATAACTGTATCGTAAGCGGTCTGAAACCTGGGATTACCTATGAGTTTCGTGTACAAGTGATTCATGAAGAGAACGAAGCGGACAGGGTTTGGAGCAAGACCAAATATGCCAGAACCCTTCTGAGATAAAAATGTTATTTTTCAATTGAATTTGGTGAGAACTTATCTGTTTGCCCCCCCTCTCCCCCCCCCCCTTTTTTTTTGGGGGGGGGGAGGGGGGGAGAAACATAAGGGCAGGATGAAAGAAAAGATTCAAGTGCTCATCAAGTGATCATGTAACTCTGAATTTTTTGTAACTGTGATTCATTTTTCAAATATTTGTGGAAGAGCATACATTTTAACGTGAGTAGTTTGCATCAGAAAAAAAATATGCGAGGAGGAAAGATTACATTTTTCTTTGGCGCACGGCAATACTTTATCCAGGGGCGGACGGAGGACGCGTCTTCTAGGGCATCCGGAAGACGGTCAGAGTCTTTAAAGTTTACCATGACGGGCATATAATTTTTCTGTCAGGAGACAGTCAAAATTGGAGGATGGATCAATAAACATAATTTGGAAGAGTGTCAGAAAATATCTCTGGATCCACCCCTGTTATCTAAAACGTCATCATATGGAATATTATATTCGTATTAAGATGAAAAAACGGATATTGGAAGAAAGGCCAAAATAATCATTTTATTGAAAAATGTTATCTGTGCTTTCATAATTCTATTCTGAAGACTGAACAGTTAGCAGGTTTTGCTATACCACCTGGTTCTGTTAAATAATCAGATAAAAAATCGTTAAGCGTCTAAGCGAAGGTTATGGAAGAGTGTGAAGCAGAGGATTTCATTTTTAACTCAAGTGTCAACCAAATAAGTAAACAAGTATAGGATGAAAACAACGTAAAAATTATAATAATATATAATTATTATAAAGTAGGCCTAAACAAGAACACGGCCAATAGCTATCTTTATAGTTCTAGAGAAAATTCCCTTTTTTGGCATTTTAATTTGCTGTGCATGGTAAATCCCCAGAAGACATTGAAGTTTAAGGGGGAGATGTACCGGGTATGCGCTTTTAAAACAGTTAAAAATCATCTATTTATTTTGAATAAAACGTATCGAAAATTATGCGGGAACTACTTATTTATTTATATTTTTATTTATTATGCTGTTTATGTCTTATTACACGAAATGGGCATTTTGATTGACTTTAAAAAGTCGCCAGTAAAAAAAATCTTTGCCATAAAAATTCAAGCGCATTACGGTCCTTGCTGAGCTACGATTGTGACATTGTGTTAGATGCGCCCCACATAAAGCCAAGACCATGGTCACATGATTTCCAAAATGGCGATACCCACAAGGTTGCCTTGGGTGGCGGGCAATCCTTAAAGAAACACTCTCTGATTACTCATCGGCACGCTTAATGGCAAAGAAACACCCCCATTTTAGTTCGCTTATCTAAAGTGAGCTGATACTAAAATGTCGGACGACGAAAGGTAGGTATACAGATAAATAGAATATAGTTAGCGTTGAACTGTGCTTGCTGCAGACAAAAGTTCGCGCGATCTCTTCAAGTTCAACTAAGGTGTTGAGGCGATAGGTCTGTTGGTTTTTAACTACTAATAGCCCTCCCGGCACGAGCGCGTGATACTATTTGACCTTCGCGTGATATAGAGTCTCCTCGATTATATCAGTCGTCATACAGTACCGGCAGAGATATAATATATATCGCCAGGGGTTAATGTTTAACATGGGTCTAAAATGATAAAGATTGATTGGTGGTTAGCAAGGCGCGCGACGCTTTATCTGTTGGTCTCATCTTCTCCACTGCCCTCTGGTGTACGCCCTCTCTATAGCCTTAGCCTGAAGACTATTTTATTTAACACGTCCGATTTTATTTAACATGTATAAGAGCGCATTCTCAACGAATTAAGCCAGGCTTTACAAAGCCGGTGACCTAAAAATGGCGGACGAACATGAAAGNAAACTTTTTTAGAAAAAAACCAGGGACTAACTTTGAATGTAAACATGGATTCATTAACCATTGGTAAATATGGAAAAATTGTTGTTTACTCCAGGAAAATTCATTTTTTGGCAAAAATGAAAGGTTATTATCCCTTTAATATTGAATTTCCGCAAACTAATGATACAATTTACAACAAATCAAATCTTAACTGGTTTTGATTATGTTTTTAAGTATCAAAATTAACTGTGTAAAAAGCGTGGAGTGTTACAAGTCAAAATAAAAGGCACATAGTGTAGTCCACAGTGTGCTCACCTCATTGGTGTTCCATCGGTGTCTTTCTCGAGGCATCTCTTGTGCAGAAGGGAGATCATCTAAACCTTTGGGTAACATCAGACCTGACTTCACTTCTGGAAGTACACAGAATAGAGCTGTGTTAGGTGAGACAACAGTGTGTTAGGTTAAACAAGATTGTGTTAGGTGAGCCATGAGTGTGTTAGATGAGACAAGATTGTGTTAGGTGAGACAGCAGTGTGTTAGGTGAGACAGCAGTGTGTTAGATGAGGCAAGAGTGTGTTAGGTGAGACAGCAGTGTGTAAGGTGAGACAGCAGTGTGTTAGATGAGGCAAGAGTGTGTTAGGTGAGACAGCAGTGTGTAAGGTGAGGTATGAATGTGTTAGGTGAGACAGCAGTGTGTTAGTTGAGAATGTGTTAGGTGAGACGAGTATGTTAGGTGAGACAATATTATGTATGGTGACATAGCACCGAGTTAAGTAAGACACCACAACGGCAAATGCAAGGAAGGTGTGAATGAAAATACCAATTATTAGAACAAAAATATCAAACTCATTCAAGATGAGAATTATCCAAAACAGCTGGAAGTGGCATGACTTAATGGAAAATTGAGCAAGATTTTCTGGGATTAGGAGGAAAGAATGTCAGAAATAATGGCATACTAGTGCGTGTAGTGCAACAACAAATTTTATCCAGACATATGTTTCTAATCTTTTTCTTCCAAGACCTGTAAAATTGAAAACTTCTGCAAAACAGGGCATTTTCACTACTTTTTGACTATTACTTCTATATTGCTTACTAAGGGTGCATTCCCAGAGATTTAGATCGATCCAGAGATTTAGATTTAGATCGACCTAACTCCCTGGGGGTTCACGCCAGCCTAGCGCGCACTATAGTTAACTAAAACCATGAGTACCGCCAGCGTACACGCTGGTGGTACTAATTACCCCCTTATAGCTTTTAGTAGGCGGGACAGACGCTTAAGCCGGCTAAGCTGACAGTAATCTAGTGAGACTCCCCACAGGGATAGATCGATCTAAAATCTATAAGAATGGGGTCTAAGATGGCATTGCCAGTGCACAGAGTTTAAGCCCTGATGTTAGAAGTTCGTCCCACATCACAAAATCTCTTTATCTGCAGTATTAACAACCTTTAAAAGCTATATTGGGAGGTTCCATTGTAGTGAAAATAATTAAATAAAAAAATTCAGGAATTGGACATAAGTGTGACTGTCAAATCAATGAGATAACACAGCACGCAGGCAATTGATTATATTATATGCTACAATATTTGCAGTTAATAATGCATCACTAATGACTCTGAAAGTAATTCATTATCGCAGTGAGAATAGGAAAAAATGCTGCCACAAATTAGACATCAACGCTTAACAAATGTCACGCCTCCAACAGAAATCAAATATTTAACAGTCCATAGTGTTCTGTTTAGTGCTCCAATTCAAAATCCTAAAATATTCTCTCTGACTCATTACAGATGTATGAAATGGGGCGCCCATGAAAATGAAATATTAAATCACACTGTTTTTAGTTCTGTTCCATGATTCATAATCCCTCACTTTTGTTTTCGTCATTTAACAGAAACATGGAAATATGATTACCGCTAATTGAGGAAAGCATGACAGCTGTATATCAAGACAACATATCACTGGGGTTTAATTTGGGCTTACATATACCAACTGATTCAGCAACAAAACATGCTTCAAAAGCATGGTTTGGTCCCTAAGAAACAATTAACTTTATTTCCTATTACTATGTCATTTTCTAAAGCAACTGGCAAAAAACTTCACAGCATAAACCAAGCCATTCATTGTTCTATCTGAGTTCAGTGTGATCATGTTTTGTTAGACTTTTAATGCAGCAAAAAGGCTCTTGGCCTGAACCAAAATATAGAGTAATCCACCTAAGTTCAATGTGAACACGTCTTGTGGAAGTTTTAATGAAGCAAGAAAGCTCCAGACTTGAGCCAAAATATACAGTAATTCATCTAAGTTCCATGTGAATATGTCTTTTGAAAGTTTTAATGAAGCAAAATGGCTCCAGGTTGAGATATAGTATAGAGCAGTTATGTATGTACTGTCTAAGTGAACTCATCTTGTGTAACACCCCATTTCCATAGATTAGATCGACCTACTTTAGATCGACCTAACTCCCTGGGGGTTCACGCTAAATAGCTGTCAGCCGGGCGGACACAAAAGTTAATTACCCCCTTACAGCTTGTAGTAGGCGGGACGGACATTTAAGTCGGATTATCTGAAAGTAATCTAGTGAGACTCCCCGCGGGGATAGATCGATCTAAAATCTATGGAAATGGGGTCTAAGTGAACTCATCTTGTGTAAGTCTGAAAGAAGCAAGATGGCTTTAGGACTGAGACAAAATATAGATCAGTCCATATGAGTCCAGTGTGACCACACCTGGTGACTGTAATAAGCTAGCAAAATGACAGGGGTGGAGGGACATATAGAACAGATGTTATCTGCTCCAAAGTCACGGGTTAAAAAACATGTCTCTTTTTTTTTCTTAACCATCTGTATTTTAAGTGCTTTATCCTTCATGTTATCAGCTAATGTGTGCCGTGACAGTTGTTATTACTGAACTTCCCTTTCCATTTATAAATTTACCAGTAACCTTTTTTTAAAACTCTTCTTTGTAAATAAAACGACAAACCTGAATGTCATGGCTTAATCAAATTCCAGATTAAGGGAACATGGTTAGTGAGCAAAATGTCTATATTATAAATATTAGTTTATAGTTGAATGGTTCATTATTAAAAAAATTAAAAATATGCTAGTACAGACATGACTATAAAGAAGGAAGAACATTGGGGAAAATTAAATATAAATAGTATATGCATAACAATGTTTTTGTTGGTAGGAGACTATATTCATCATAACATATTCACACTTAATAACTTTTATAATACTAAGACAAGAAGTAATTTTAACAATCAGTTTCATCACACCTCAACAAAAATTTTGATATAAAAATGAAAATGGAAAATAACAAGTGCACTGACAAAATGATTTTTTTTAGCTTGAAACACACATGTACGTGATGACACTAGTTTACAATAAAAAAAAAACCAACACTGTTGACTTGGTTCTCCGTAAAAAAAACAACACGTCAAAAATGCCGTCATCTAATAGACGTACTAGTACTTTCCAAGTACAATTGCCACATACACACACAGCTTGCCTGACTGTGAACTGAGATATATTGAAAACATGGAGAACCCGTGTAACATGCACTGGATAGTGCGTATTGATTGGAGCTCCAGGAAAAATTAATTTCAAATCCCGAGAGCCGTGCGAGGCAGGCCACGGTTTCAGTATTACTGCACTGCTGGAGATTATACACAGGCTGTTAGAATACTGATATGGTTTAAAGTGAAAGATTGGAGAATGGAGGGATTAGTACTTTGATCTTTGGTCAGTCACACACATTCTCTCTCTCTCTCTCTCTCTCTCCACAAACAAATAAATAATGAGGAAAGCATGACAGCTGTATATCAAGAAATCATTAAATAATGATTTCACAGCTTAAAATTGTCCCCCATGTGAGCCAACTATCTTTGTGAAAATAAAAAAAGGTTAGAATGACTGAAGACAAAAGCTGAGACTTAGGTTGAAGCCGATCTTGGTACCTTAGCCATATTTCAGAGGGTTAGTTATTTCTGACTGCTAGTGTCACCAATTGCAAGTTGCCTGTAGCCAGTTTCAGAAAACTACTTTAGTCTGAAAAATTGGTCTAAACTTTTCNTCACCAATTGCAAGTTGCCTGTAGCCAGTTTCAGAAAACTACTTTAGTCTGAAAAATTGGTCTAAACTTTTCAACAAAAAATTGGTCTGTTTTAGTTCTTCAGGTCAAGAAAATTTCAGAGTAGCTCACATAAATAAGGTAAGTACTTGTCCGAAACATTAGGTACATCTGTTTTTTATATAATATAAAAACAGGTGTGATATTTAATTTAAAGATACTCTTTTACAGAATACCTCTAATTAGGACTTTGTCTTACTTCTAAATGTTTTGACCAATATTTTTAGACTTAAGTTCCTTACATGTAAAACAGCCACCTGCCTTTTCACATTTAACAACCTAGGCTTAGCCTATTAAGCCTATTAATTAAAATTCTTATAATTGAAGTGCAGCCAGCCATTGAGACTGCCACCAGTTTTTATTACAGATCTGCATCAATCTCAAAAACAATAGTTGGAAAAATTTCATCTCTGTATAAAGTCTTGCCCCTACCCCCCCCCCCCAACACATAAAATACTGACTGTACTGACCTGTGCTGACACCTAGGGAAGTGTCCACCGCAGTGGCTATCTGTGGGGCTGTAATGACCACCCTCTGGTCAACCACATGATACTGACCGCTGCCGCTGGTGTGATTCATGGTGTCCAGCGTCTGGAACTGACCGCCTCGCCTGTTCACAACAGCAGTGTCCAGTTGACGGAACTGACCAGTACCACCTCCAATCTCTAGAGGCCGGAGATGTTGACCGGTGTTAGTCCCTGCGTCCAAAGTCTGAAACTGACCAGTGGCCGTATTCCCCCCGGGGTCTAGCTGGGGCGGGAACTGGCCTAACTGCCCACTATGGTTCATTTCAACTCAGTAAGAGAACGTGTGCAAGGCTGTTTGGGCTCCTGGCGTCATTGTAACTGTAAAATAAATCAATAAACAAAGCTATAAATACGTATCATGTATGGCTTCATTGTTTGTCGTGATATTGTGTTCTTTTCAGCTCAAAGTGCAGTGTAGAGATCAATTCAAGATGGTAGTTATGATTTTTTAAAACCCCTGTCTAGCTTCTTCGATTATCTCATAACAGAAATCTTTCAGCTCGTATTTATTTCCATCTAGATAGTTAAATTACCAACATTAGCACCAGGAGAAGCTGATAAAAATACAATGGTGCATTAAAGTCAATCATGAATTAGAATTTAAGGTGCTGAAAATGACTTACTACTGAAATACATAGACTACTTTCTATTAATGGAGGATCAAGTAAATGTGCTTGTAGCTGACTATGTAAGATGTAGCACTTTTCTCACAATTAACATATTAATATATATTTGATAATTGCATTGCCTCAAAATCTCTACAGCACAATGGAGAAATATTGAGAGCTTTCTGATACAGATGTTTTAAAATGATTTTTTTTTACATGTAACACGCCACAATCTGTTATTCATGAATTGGGACATGCTTTTACTCAAAATGAAAGATCCTGAAATGATTGGCATGTTACTGCATTTCAAAGAACATTTGGCAATGAAAAGTCAAATTCTGGCAAGAAAACAAATTCTAGCTCACCTCAAAAATTCTAAAATGCCTGGTACATTGCACAGTGCAAAGCTCACTTGGCTGTTAAAAGGTGATGTTTGGCTTCAAAACAAGAATTAACACAAGTGAATTCTTCTAATGAGATGTAATTTGCAACAATGCAGCTCTTGAGAAAACCAGGCTCATTAATATTTTTATCCCACCTTACCTTTCTTCGCAGGTCTTGTCGCTGACTTATTTCTGAGAATTGAGGATTAATTTCATCCAGGCACTGGTAGCCTTGGATTTATGGCGAAAACAGCATTTTTTCTTTCTTTACAACAAGGAATGAGTTTGGTGACAGAGGCTGAAATAAAATAAAAAAAAAATCTTTCCTGAGAGAAATTTTCCAATAAATTGAATGTCACTAACTAAGCAATATAACTACCTGTACTCATATAACTTATCAGGCACAGCTTAATAATACACCATGGCTGCAGAGATGCAATATTTATTGTGCGAAAAAGACCTCATATTACGAGAAACTGCCTCTGTTTGGTCAATTATTCAGTAATTATCCAACAATTGGAAGAGGTCAGAAGGTCTGAACATCTGCCTGGACATCAACCTTCCTGGGAAAGATTTTCATTGCTTGTGTGTCTAGAACTCAATATAAATAGATATTTACCTAGGATATGAAAATTGTCATCAAATAATGAAGCTTCCCCCCCCCCCCAAAAAAAAAAAAGGAAAATAAAATAAAATAATCAAATAAATGTGAAATTGTCACATTATTCAGAGTGCAGAGAGTAGAAAGTAAATACTCATAGCATATTTTGCATTTATAATGTGTCACAAAGATATTCACTCGAACAGAGACCAAACTCACTTTTTAAAACTTTACAATGACTTATTTCTGATAATATCTATGAAAGATGTTGGTTTGACAAATTCACTATTTTAACACACAATTTGGCTGTGATCTTCAACTTTTCTAAGTCCACATGTAATGTTCTATGACCTAAGTTGCTAATGCTCAACCAATTCTTTATCGATCAATTGACGCCACATATTTTCAGAAGTGCCCCAGGACCTATGGCCCATCTATTGCTGCACTTATCTTAAGTACAGTAATATGCAGGGCCAGATCCAAGATTATTTGTTTGGAGGGGTCCAGTTTTTAAGAATGACAGGCCTTAGATGCGAAGCCGAAGCCGATCCATGGTGTGGGGTTCAGTGTTTTGGAGGGCAAACAGTGCCATTTGGTACAGTATAGAACTATGATTTGAACAGCTCTTCCAAAATTCTAATATCATGAGGGGAATATTGGCGTTATTTTTTTCCAGAAACCAAAGGGGCGGGGGGGGGGGGGGGGGGGGTAGGCCCCCCCCTGACAACCCCCCTTAATCCACCACTGATGTGATCCCTCATAATTTGCATAGTACTTTGTTGATTGATTTAATATTTTACAGTTATGATGTGGACATTTTACAACTTATCTGAATTATAAATGCAAAGATGCAAGTAAGGCAATGCTCACAATATAAGAAATCAATTTCAGCAAATACCCCCCAAAAACCTGCAATTCTTTAGATGTGTTCGAGATAAACAGTAATTGATCAGTACAGAGAAACACTTTGCAGTCTTCTGTCAGAAAAGAATTTAATCAACTGTTTTATGCTTACTGCCAGTTTTGGTGTCTTCTTAAAAAGAACAGGTAAAATTAGACAGATTTCTTACACTCAAATTATGCCATTTAACCTCAATCCCCAATGAAGTTGATACAAGGGAAGCAGACATATTGGAGTGCAAAAGTATGACTCTTTATTTTAGCTTTTACTGGAGGTGGAGGGAGACTAAACAACTTCATGAACAAATTTTTTTCAACAAAAAACTGTTCACAAGCGACGAGAAAGTAATCAATATACTTCACAAAAAAGATCCAAAAAGATGGCAATTATAATCTTGAACAAAAAAACTTAAACAAAACAATTCCGCCTCATTTGACAGGTTATGGCATTCTTTACTGACAAAACATTCAAGAAAAAAAGATATATCCTTACTGCAATATGTAAGCAGACTTCAGGTATTAAAATTAGCTAACATTATTACGCTTGGGCACCAACATATAAAGAACGCCAATAATACTGCCATCGTAATAACTCTGTAAAAACTCAACCCACAATATGCACAACAACAGCTCCTTTGGAATAATTGCCTCAGACTTATTCACTCACTCACATAAAAGCAAACAACTGGTCGCCATTGTAATCATGACAATACCAAGACCCACTTTTCTTTTTTTATAATAAAGAATTGAAAATATCGATCTTGTGTCGCCGCAGCCTCTGATCACTACCAGGTCAAGGTTGCAACTTCAAATGACCTTTACAAGACCAATAAATGTAGCCAATGTAGCTTAAAGTATGTACTAATTTTTAAGAGTTTTTTATTCTTTTTTATTTATTTTTTTTTTTTTTGCATATTTTTCCTTTCTCTTTTAATCAACAAATTTAGAGACGTGTCACTAAGGCACTTGTAAGATTCTGTGTTAAAGGGATAACAACTGTTCATTTTAGCCAAAAAAAAAGATTTTCCAGGTGTAAAAAAACAATTTTCCCATACTTACCAATGGTTAATGAATCTGTTTGAGCATTCGAAGTTAGTCCATGCTTTTTTAAAACCTTTTTTTTTGTAATAATCTCTTGAGAGGTCACATGATGCCGTGATAAGCATGACAAGAATAATTGTTATAACTGCTGTTTTGGAGGTAAAAGAGAATTTATGACTACATTTCTTTGAGTTGTTTGCATGGTATTTATTGTGAAATATGAATCTCAATTGGACAGTGAGATGTTATCCCTTTAAATACATAAAGGTTGAAAAGCATTGAAGTTATGGTCAATTTATATAAAACTCTTTGTGACTTATTTCCCATTGGCCCTGTCTCATACACATTCAAAATAGGTCTCAAGTAATTACTTTACCAGCCAAACTTTTAAGCTACTAGCCAAGGTGGTGAATGAAGAACAATCGGCTCATTTCTAATTGTATTATTCTCAATCTGTGCCAGAAATGTACTAGTACACAATCCCTCGATAAGGCAAGTGGTTCATAAGCTTAAAAATTCAACTTTTTTCAAAAACATTAACAACTGCCATTTATTATTAATAAACCTTCTAAATGTACTCAAAATGTACTAGTATCATATAATATCATTCCCTGACCCTATTTTCTATTTGATCCATTTCATTTTGAGTAGCAGTAAGGGACTTCAGCAAAAAAATACATTATTCCATTTTTGACTTATGTATGGGAAATTTGTGAAACATGACATCTTCGGAACCTAATGCTTTTCTACATAAACCTTCCACATTGGAGTTTACAAAAATGTCACAGTACAGCGATGATGCAGTGCTGTTTATGTTAGCGTGAACATGGATGATTGCAAGAGACTAAACCAAGATAGTGACATAGTATTGATCTTTTTTTTCCTTGAGCTACATTGTGGCATATAATGATGCAACAATTGCATGGTGTCCTTTTGCAAGATTGCCAGGACAGCGCTAACACTTGTCAATTGAACCTAATGCTAAAACTGACTTTGATTGGCTAAACAAAAAGAGCTTGATTTGACTTGTTTTAGTCAAATTGTTACCATCTGGATAAAAAAAAATTGGCAAAAAAAGTGATTTGGCTAAGCAAAAAAAAAAAAAAAAAAAAAATGCTAACACTACCACAGGATTGCTTTTCAAAATACATAACACTCATTGATTTTATATTTCCCTTTTGTTCACTTACCCATAGCAGTAATTTTAAATTTCATCCCAATCAAACTTTTTTACTTTAAAAGGATCTAAAGTACCCATAAATGTATGATGTCTATCAAAAATGTACAAGTTTAAATCCATACTTATTTTTGTCGCAATGTTCTTTGCTTGAAACATCATAACAAATCATGTTGCACAAATCAATTTTTTAACAAAAAGGAACCAGAGGGAAATGTTTCTAATCCTCCTGAACACCATATCAACCTGGCAACACATGTATAATTAAAGAGGAAGCAATAGTGCAAGCTATTTTCGATGTCCCTGTAGAATTTTTTTCCGTGGTCTGTGTCAGTGTTCAGCGCAGTTCTGACAAGGAATGTTTTAGGCCGCATTCAGAACAGATGATCTGGGGACTAAATATGGCCGACCCCACTAAAAAAGCAAGCCACCTAATTCCCTGACAGTCTCCCTGCCTCCACACGTGCCAATAAAAATGTTTTGAATGATATAGTTACTGACAGATGTTACATTTGACACAGTGGCGGATTGAATAAATGGTACGTGACATGACTTGCAGGCTAAAAACTGGCATGAATTTTAATATATAAATGTAAGCATGTAAATTTATCTAAAATTTATAAATGTTTTGTGAGCCATCCTATATCTGTTATGAGCATTACTGTGTCCAGAGTTACATCATAATATGTCAACTGGGCAGCCATCTCTGTCAGTTATTTACCCAGCAAAACTGCACTCTTTTATCTTTGTGTGATTTGCAATATGTAGGGAATATAATACTAGTAGGTCTTTCAACCAGTAATAATCAGGCAAATTATTATTGTTGGTGGAAACCTGTTATTTTCAATGGCACCTTTTTGCAAAGGGTCACATAAATATGAAAAAAAAATTCTAAAACATACCACCAAAAATTTTTACTTTATGAAAAAAAAAAAAAACTAAAAACTTCTTAGTTAAAATGATTCTAAACGTGCCCCATACCATCGACGTTCATAAAAAAAGCCGATGTTCAAAACAAGTGATATCCCATGAGACAAACTGATCATTGACTGTTCCACGTTAATTTATTGGTTATACCCCAGCAAAGCCAGTACAAATACTTATTTGAAGGAATTGATCTTCACACTACAGTTGATTTCCCTTGGCTTTCTACAAACCACGGCCTCTCTCAAGATGGCCGTTCACCATTTTGGTCCAAGATTTGTTCACAACTGGTCCAACTTGAACTTCACTTTGTTCTAAGATCTGTTCATAACTGGTGCAACTTGAACTTTATCTTTTTCTGAAACATGTTCACAACTAGTCCAACTTGAACTTCACCTTGTTCTAAGACCTGATCATAACTGGTCCAACTTGATCTTTACCTCATTCTAAAACCTGTTCACAACTGGTCCAACATGAAATACACCTTGTTCTAAGACCTGTTCACAACTGGTGCAACTTCAACCTTACACTGTTCTCAGACCTGTTCACAAGTGGCCCAGCTTGAACTTGACCTTGTTTTAGGGCCTGTTCACAACAGGTGCAACTTCATCTACACCTTGTTCCAAGACAAGTTTACAACTGATCCAACCTGAAC